AATTTTACTACTTCTTGACTATATTAGGAATCCGTACACATAACTCAGATGATGAAAAAGGAGATATAAAATCACAGGGGGAAATCCAGAACTCTTTAGTGTTTAATAGATGAGATAATAAATGAGCATTTATTTCCTATTTCACTTTGCTAACAGTGAAACACTAAAGCAAGGCCTACAAGTATCCGATCCAGCTCCTATTTCCTAATAAGAAACAATACCTGTGGTATTCCGTGCGCCATCCTTCCATGTATCTGGAGTGATAACCCTGCCGAGTTTCTTTTCACCTGTTAAAGCAAGACAGCAAAAGGGAAGAAGAATTATCATCTAATAGACATACTATGTGGAAATAAAATAATGAGCCCATTTCTTTTCTAACTTTAAAATAATAAATATACTCTATCATGCCTGAGGTTGATAATGCTATCAAGTCAGATTACAGTAGGAACCTACAAATTCTGAGGTGGAAACCAGTGAATGAAGACTTAAGACAGTAACTGTGGACAATGGATAACTGAGTCTGAAGAGGATTTATCCGACAATAAGATGCTTTCACTGTTTATACTTTAAACAATTATTTTTTAAACAATTAAAAAAATTACAATTTAAGCAATTTGACAAACTTACTCATCCTTCAACATTTCATAATCACCTAGTATGTACAAAACCCTGTACAAGGTACCAATGGAAATAAAACCATGAATCTAGATTTCAGCGGGCTTATACCCAAGTTCATTAGTTTCTTAAGAGCTTGTAGGCAGATCATAGGAAATAAATGAACTGGATAGAACAGTACACAAACCGAATAAGTGTGTTCTATTTTTTTCCTTGTTAAGAATCTATAGGGTTCATCAGATTTTCAAAGTGATCAGAGATTTTAAAAAAAAGTGAAGAGCCCTTCAGTAAAAATATAAGCTGGAAAAAAAAATAAAATAATTTTTTTATATTTTATATATATGAGCTAATTGAGACAGTTTAAACAACTGGCAATGCAAATATGAAGAAGATAAAGTCAAACTACATAGATAAAGGGCACATCCTGAGGAAAGGCATGGGAAGTTCAGGGTATACATCCGCATATAAGTTCAGGGTATACATACTCTGGCTAACTCAAGTGTGAAAAGGGTAAATGCTGGTGAAAATGAAGTTGGAAGGATAAGCCAGGGCCTTATCTGTAGAGGGTCTCAGACATCCAAAACAGCCACAGTTACCTTACTGTTTAAGTAGGAAAAAAGTCAGGCTGGAGAAGTGAATTTGATACTCCATGGTATGGACGTGCTAGCCGAGGCCAAACATTCTCCAAAGATTTAATGCAGCCAGAGAAACAAACAAACAAACAAAAACCAAAAACAATAAAATAAAACAAAACAATACCAAAAAAACTCTTTGGAACTGAGTAAATGGAAGACTACTGGTTAAAGTTTAAAAGTTCTTTAGTAGTATGGAAAGTCAGTTTGTATTTCTAAAGTTATAAGAAGTAACTCTAAAAATCTGGAGACAAACAACTTTTTGAAACAATTTAGGACACAGGGAAAGACAGAACTGTGGTGGCTGCCTGACATTATGGCTTTTGTAGGAGTATGATTTCAGTTTACTTACAGGGTGAGTTTGATGAGCAGACTAGGAGGTTAAAAACAATAAAACATCAGCTTTTTTCCGGAAGAGCAGAGAAGTAAAGAGGAGGAGGAGGAGGAGGAGGAGGAGGAGGAGGAGGAGGAGGAGGAGGAGGAGGAGGAGGAGGAGGAGGAGGAGGAGGAAATGACCTTGGATGGCACACATTCAAGTCCAAAGCATGTGCATTTTACGGTGATGCCGCTATGGGTCTTGGACTCTGAAATTGGGTTTTATGTTCCTTGGAGATATTAGTTCAGTTTCCTACTATCCCCAGTGTCATCTGGGACAAAGCACTTACAATATAGAGAGAATTAAAACAAGTGAAAGTAGACAGAATTTTTGTCATCTATTAGCAAATGTACAGAACTGACAAAAACGACAAAGAAGACCCAAGTTGTACATGTAAGAATTACACAGCATGAAGGCACAAAATATACATACATTTAAGCCACATTTAATCAAACATCTCCCCTACTTTCAAAAAGAATAAAAATAACTGCTTAAGGATGGAGGCTGGGCCTGATGGCACAGGCCTGTAATTTCAGCTACTTGGGGGTGTCTGTGTCCCAGAGTATTATGTACTGAAGGGATATAAACAAAATGGATCATGTATATTAGATAATAATTGGGATACAAAGAGTTGAGTTCTTATGTTTAGCCCGAGGAAAAGAGATCGAGATAAGAAAGTTGTTTTTAAACAAATCAACAGTTTTTGCAGTTAAAAAAATCAAGTATTTTCAACAAATCTCAAGGATTTCATTAGAATTATTGAATGGTAACTAAAAGGATCAAAAAGAGCTTTCCAGGGGTGACTACACAGATATCTTTGGCGATGATGAGACTTTCTCGTTCCCCTTACCCAGTGCTGTGGGTATCAATGAAAAGAATGGACGGGACGGTACAAAATATCCAGTTAAACTTAACCTGTATTAAATGTTGCATGTGGTTTGTAAGGAACGGCCAAAAAGTCAAGATTCAAATTCTACACCGGACATAGGAACAGTACGAGAAAGGATTCGTTGTTTGTAATCTTAGAAATGAACTGAGAGCCTGGAATTTATACTTGCTACACGGGTAGCAACTCTCGATGCTACCGGGAAGATTTTGAAGATCCATTTTAAATGACTCTTGGAGCCAGTCAAGAAGTTGTAACTGAGCCGGGCAGAGGTGGCGCACGCCTTTAATCCCAGCACTCGGGAGGCACAGGCAGGCGGATCTCTGTGAGTTCGAAGCCAGCCTGGGCTACAGAGCGAGATCTAGGAAAGGCGCAAAGCTACACAGAGAAACCCAGTCTCGAAAAACCAAAAAAGTTGTAACTGAAGAGATCCAGGACGAAGGGCGGGAGGAGGGCAGGAGAAACAAACAGAGACCCTTCTGAACACAAAGCATAGGACTACACAGTCCCTGGGACCGGCAAGGATGACGGCGGGACACCGCAGGAAGGCAAAGCTTACATCCACAGACCCGGAGGAGAAAAAGCCAAGGCCGAGATCCCACGAGAATTCCGTCAGGCTCCTCCCGTCTCCTCCTCCCGCAGACGCAGCCCCTTAACTTACATTTTTCGCACACCATCCTTCCACCGACTGTCCCCTCAACCTCCAAATCAAGAGCCGCCGCCGGATAACATCAACAACACAGCCGGAGGAGACTTCCCCTTCCGGTTACGTCAGCTCGCTTCCGCTCTCTCGGCATCCCGCTCCCGCCTATCCTGTACCTGGAAAGCCGCGGGAGGGACGAACGAGAGCTTGTGGGCGGGGCTTATTTCATTGACCCGCCCCCTCTCTTCAACGATTGGCTGTGGACGTGGGAGTCCCCACCTCCTGGGTCTGCGCCTGCGCCAGGGCCATGGCAGCCTGCCGCACCTGAGGAGGGTGGGAGGCGGTGGTGTCCCCTTTCCGTCGGCGGGCGGGAGAGTTAGGTAAGCCGGCGGCATGCCCCGCACGCTCGCCGGGGGCGGGCGCAGGCTCCTCTGCCGACTGCCGCGGTGGCCTGCGGAGCGCCACGCTTCCTGCGGAGCAGAGGATGTCCTGCAGGATGGACCCTCTGCGATCCCGGCATCCGTCCGCGGGACCGACGCTCTGTCCCTGTCTGTCGGGTCACCCGGGGGTGCGGGCAGCTCCATCTCTCTGATCACGCCCCTCAGTTGCCCACACTCCCGCCGCCCGAGGTTCGGGCAGAATCTCCAGCCACCCTGGGTGGGGTTGAGCTGCACCTGGGCAAAGGCTGCTTAGGAGGGCTCGGAAGCAGCCGCGCCTTCCGACCTGGCTCACGTCGGATCGCGGATCGCGACTCCGGTTGGTGGCTTCACAGGTCTGGAGTGCTGGGGGACCTCAGGACCTGCCAGTGTCTGAGCAAGGGCTCCATCCAACGAGCCTTGGCGTTTAGGTACCGCTCGCTAGGTTTGATCAGGATTTGCAGATGGCCCAGAAACGCTCTCTACTAAGAGGATGGGTTCCTGATCCCCGACTACCCGCCTGACCCCGGCCCTGGAGGGAAGAATCTGAGAAACTTTCCCCAAGTCTTTTCTTACTGTTCGTTCTTCTCCGGACCCCTGAAGGGTATCTTCATGTTGAAGGGGCTATGCTTGCAATGGCTTTAGTGTGTGTAACCTTGGCCGTGTCTGAGAACTTGTTCATCCAGCTTGCTTAATCAGTATCATATTTGCCTTTGAAAACGAGTGTGTGAATTTGATGAGGGCTGATAGAACAATGCCCAAACTTGCACTTTCACCTTTCAGGCCAGTTTCACTTCCCTGCTGTATGGATGTTTCTGTTTGGGCTAGATTTTTTTTTTTTTTAACCACAATATAACATGTATTACTTTAAGTTCTTTCTTAATTTTAGCCAATATAACAGATAAACTGCCAGTTAGGTCAAATATACGCATTTAGAGACCGTAAACGTTTGTTTCTCCTCCCACTCATGTTCTGCTTTTGAGTAGAATTTAGAGTCTGTGACTGTTACTTTGTTTTTCCAAGAGCTTTGGGAGCCCTTAGTGTAACACAATGACCATCTAATTATATTGCATATCCAAGTGTATACTTGCTTGACATTTGGAAACTAGAGTGATTTCATCTTCCTGATTTTGGCCCCCCCAAAAGTAAAATTAGTTGCTTAATTGTCTCTAATACATGTCCTCTTTGCAGAGATAGTCATGAATATTTAAAATTCTACTGAATTTTTTTAAGGCTCTAAAAGATGTTTGTATCATATTAGAAAAATCTAAAGTAACAGGATATTGAATCTATCTACACATCTTCTGCACTTTGAGACAAATATATTGCCCATAGAAAATTATTAGTACATGGTTAACTTATAGAGTATTGAAGTGTTTGGGACATGGGGAAAATCATTATTACATGTTTTTCTTAATTTGTTTTCTACTAGATAGCTACCCAAGAAAACACCATGAAAGATACTGACATCAAGAGACTTCTGTATACCAATCTTTTGTGCGTATTTTCAATTTTCCTGAGCTTTTTTATTCCATCCTTCTTCCTGGATAACTTCTCAATACTGGAAACTCACTTGACGTGGTTGTGCACTTGCTCTGCTCTTGTGACTGCTGTCAATCTCCTGTTATATTTAGTAGTGAAACCAAATGTACCTTCTAGAAGAAGTTCATTATCACATAAGGTAAGGTTGACTCATTAATAACCAGTTTTTAGATGGAAGTAAAGCATCGTGACGGGTGGTGGTTGGCTCATGCTTTTAATCCCAGCACTCAGGAGTCAGAGGCAAACAGATCTCTGTGAGTTCAAGACCAGCCTGATCTACAGAGCTAGTTCCAGGATAGCCAAAGCTACATAGAGAAGCCTTGTCCTGATAGAACAAAACAAAGAATGAAGTATTGTTATATCCTTATTGAGTTATTTACAGCATATAAAGGGAACCAACCCCCACCCCCACCCCCCAAAAGCAGTAGCCTGTCACCTACAATGTTTGATAGATCTTTATTGTTCATTAACCGTGGAATTATGGCTCCTTCAATGCATCACGGTATAAATATTATGAGCCCGTATAATCATTGTTTTATATCATCACTGAAGATAACTTATAAGATACTGCAGTTTGTTTTCATTTATTTTTGTACTTTTTTATGTGGGTAGGGGTGGGTGGGTTACACTGTGCAAATGCATGAGAAGGCTGGAGGCTGACTTAAAGTCTCATCTTTAGAAACACTGTCCACCTGCTGTGGACAGGGTCATTCATTGTCCTGCAGCTCACCAATTAGGCTAGACTGGCTGGCCAATGAGCCCCAGACATCCCTTCATCTCTCCCCAGTGCTGGATGACAAGCGTGCCCCATACTTAGCATTTTACTGTGAGTTCGAGGAATCAACTCAGGTTCTTGTTGCTTTGACTGAGTTATCCCTCAGCCCATGTATATTTTAAAAATATATATGTTTATTCTTTGATAACTTCATACCTGCACACAATGTGTTTTGATCATATTCATCCCCTACTCTATTCCTAATCCCTGCCCAACTTCATAGCCCTTTTGCTGTTGTTGTTCTTGTTATGACCTCTAGAGTCCCATATCTGCATGGATGTGGGGCCATCCACTAGAACGTGCTCAACCTACCAGGGACCACACTCCTAAAGAAAACTGACTTTCTTTGCCTTAGCGGCCATCAGCTGTCAATAGCTTCCTCAGCCAGGGGTTGAAACCTAGCCTGTATATTTTCACTCCTTAAATAAGTGAGTTGTCCAGAAATTGCAAATTAAGTCTCTGTAACTGTTATTTCACATGTGCCCTTCCTTGACTAGACAGTTAAGATTTCAGATATTGGAATCAATTTTTCTTCAGGAATAGTCACTGTTTATGACACTTGACAATTATATTAAATTAAAATCCTCACTGAACATTCAATATTATATATAACGCCCTATTAAATTGTTTTAAACACCTTAACTGACTTAAAGTTTAAAACATTAATATGTGTTTTACTATTATATCTTCTTGAGTTTCAGATCAAGTGTGTTCCAGGCATGGACCTGTTTGTAGATGTTCAGGTCTTTTTTTTTTTTTTTTTTAATATTGTTTATACAGCAATATGAATATGATTTTGGGAATTATTTAGTATTTTGCTTTTTTGATGTAATTTCCCCAGTTTTGTTTAAAAATGAAAGAAAAGTATAGTCGTCATTATTTTCTGTACATAATTCATGTGTCTTTATATAATAAGGTCACTGTGGTTTTTGTATCCCAACACTCTATTGTCAGTATTTCTTAAGTATCAATAATATTTCAATCATACCACATAAACAGAAATCAATTTTGACTCTTATGCTGGTATATGGTAGAGTATATTTGTGTGATATTTGTCTTTTAAATTAAAAATTATTACGTTTATTTATTTACTATTTCTTTAGTGTGTGTGCATGTGGGCCTGCAGCACAGCTGTCATAGTGAGACCAGAGAGTAGTTCTCCACTTCCATTGTGTGGGTTCCAGTGATTGGACTCGGGTCGTCAGGCGTGGAGGCAAGTGCCTTCACCTGCTGAACCATCTCGTTGGCCCTGACTTTAAGTTTTGTGCAATCTGTTTTGAGGGTTGTATATGTGATGAGACATGTGATCTGATTTGAAGTTACCCAACAAAGAAGGTTCAGCTGTCCCAGACATTTTGGGAATGAGTTCTATTTGGGTGTAAAATGGCAGAATTTATGGCTTCTTCAGTATCTTCTTGAGTCTTCAGTTTATTCGTTTCTCTTTTAGGTGACCAGAGTTTTGAAATGCTGTATGTACTTTCTAATGTCTTGTGTGTTCCTTCATATCATTTTTGTTCTCTACGGAGCACCACTAATAGAGTGAGTTCTGAGTCTTTAACTTTGTGCTTCCATATATTAACTTACTAAATGATATGCTAGCTCTTATCAACTGTAGTGGAACCACAGTGGGTTTGATTAATGATCAAGGTAGAAAACACTATTATTGTCCTGATTTTAGTACTGTTATGTTAAAAATATTGAGACAAAAAAAAATATCCAACAACCCATTGAGACAACTTAATTCTTCACATATTTCTGTTATTTAGCTTTCTGATACCCAACTATACATCATAAACACTGTTAATATATTATATATCATATATATAAATATAATAGTAATAAATGTATGGCTGTGAAAAACCTCTAGGTGTCTAACCTTTTGACAGTACAACACGATGTGGTCATCTACAAAGCTGTGTTTAAGAACCTTGTGATCACATTACCAAAATATGACAATGTTGTAAGTAAGTTTATCATTTGGGATGCATTCATAGCTATCCTTGGATGAGGGCCACAAGCTGGACATGCCTAGATAAATGCAGGCAACTTAGTATTGTGATATGTGTAAATTGGTTATATATAGTATTTCAGTGACTCAAATATGATTCTAGAATAGCTGAATTTATGTTCTTAAGGGGCATAGATTCCTTTATCAAATATCAATGTTTATATTAAAATTTAAGTCTTTAAAACTGGACGAATTTCAAATTAGTGGAAACTAAATTCACAAATATTTGTTAAATGAGACGTTTTATTTTAGCCATGATTAAATGATCATAGTTAAATGAGTGATTATACATACACACGCACACATAAAGCTGCAATTGCAGGTACACACACACAGTTGTATACATGCAATAAACTAACAGATTATTCTATTTTAGGCAGGGCAGGAAAGTCATGGAAAATGGTTTTGTCTAATCCATCTCAAGAGAATCAATGAATAGACAATGTGTTCCATAGCTCAAGGTTTTATCAGAATGAAATTTGTTAGACCTCAGTCATAAACTCTTGAGGTAAAACTTGGTGATCTTTAGTTTAGTCTCTTCATGTGGCTAAATGAAAAGCAGTTCAACTTTAAGAGTTTTGGAGATTATTAAGGAAGAAAGCTAATTATCCAAAACTGAGCTTTTTGGTTGTTTTGTTTTGCAAGAAGGCCTCAGTATAGATCTTCAGATTTTTAACATTTTTAAAATTTATGATTAAAACCATGTAATTTTCTAGGATGTTTTTAAAGCTAGTAGAATAATTTAGTCTTATTTAATGGGTTCAGGAGTTTTTCAGAGTAAAGTATAAGAAGATATTTGAATAGTGAATGCACTTACAAAGATGATACATGCTTAGAATAAATGTACCTCTAATACTTCTGAAAAGTTAACAGTTTTTCTTTTTTTTATCCTAGGTCGGTGTTGGAAACATTTTTATTTGCAGTTATTTTGTCTACTTTTACTACAGTACCTTGCTTATGTTTGTTAGGACCAAACCTCAAAGCATGGCTAAGAGTTTTCAGTAGAAATGGGTAAGTTTAAAATTTGTATTTTAGTGACATTAGTAATTTAAAAGAACTAAAGAAGTATTTTCTATTCATGTTGATGTACTCATCCTGTGAGTGTTTTGAGGCATTGTCTAGCTCTCCCAGATGTCAAAAGGGGCCAGTGCTCTTGGAGATTAGAGGCTGGAGGTAGACGGTTTGAGAGAACTCCAGACAGAGAACTACAGCCCCTGCCTTCACATTAACAAGAGACAGTACTACAAGTATAATTGCTTCTGTGCATTTCATAATGTAGAAATGAAGTTCATAATCTAGAAATACTTTTTCTAACCATCTCTTGTTTAGTCTTTTTATGGTAAGATCTGAGAGTGCAAGCTTTGCCAGATTTCATTTCTGTAGCTACCATACATATATTTTCAGCATAGCTAAGTTAAAGTTTTAGCTTCCTTAAAGCCATTGAGATAATACATACTGAAAATGGTTAATTTTAACTAAGAAAATCGGTGAGTTAGTTCTCATGGTTTTGACTTATTTATAACCCAGCAGCCAAACTTCTTGAGCATTGACTCTGTTCCACATTGTACTAGCTCTGTGTGGATTCCAGAATGTTCAGATCACACGGAGGAGCCGTGTGTTCAAGGGTTAAGAATGTAAAGAGCAGACCAGTGACTCCAGTGTACAAATCCCACAGTCAGTGCTGTAGGAGTGGGGCGTGACAAAGACCGGGCTGATAGGAGACCGCTCTGTGGTGGATTGGGTCAGAAATAGAGCATTTGATGAGACCAGCAGCAGGAAAGATTTCTGCAGGGCTGGAGGGGCGTAGAGACTGAAGTGAGCTTGGGCTGTTTGTGTGCTTCGGAAATCCACGGCTCAAGGAGAGCGGAGGACGGCTCTGGGTGCCCTGTCTCCGTAAGTTACATTTTTCTTTGGGAATGACTATTGGTTATTTTATATTTGGTCATGCTGTGTTTTATTTCACATCCCCCGCCCCCGCCCCAAACTGCTGTCTACTGATAAAGTTTCTAGGAACAAAAGCGTAACAACTGAATATCCCCCTCCACACACACATTGTTAGCGTAGTACCTCCAATGGAATTAGCTTATTTTAGTTTGAAAATTTTAAATATGGAAACTGGCTGAAACTTTAATGGTTTGTTTAGACTGGTGATTTAGCCGGCTTTAAATTTTGTGTCTAGTTATATATTTAGAGGACACATTGTCATCTGGTTTTATAGATTGTTCTTCTGTCACTTGACCTGTGTGTTCTACAACTCACTGTACTTTGCAAAATAGGCAATATGGGAAAGGATGGAGTTAGAGACATAATGCTTGGAGACTTCATTAATGACAAAAAAAAAAGAAGAAGAAGCTAGGAACTTAATAAAAATGGTAGCACGGTTTCACACTGAAATGGTTCCAAACCACATAAATATTACATCAAATAATATTCTTTTCCCAGGAAAAGACTTGAAATTTGTTTCTTGTCAGTTATTGTGAAGTAGTGAAAGATAGTTATTGGAAATCTGGCTAAGAATTAACACCAAATGTGGATGAATATGGCTCATGATACATTAAGTAAACTGATATAGTTGGGAGGTATAGTTACATATATTTTCTGAATTAATTTATTTGTGTGTGTATGCACGTGTGTGCATATATGTGTGGGCGCTGCTGTGCCATCAGGCATGCGTGGAGGTCAGAGAACAACTTCTGGAGGTTGATTCTTTCCTTCACTACATGGGCCCCAGAGATTGAATTCTGGTTGACAGGTTTGGCAGCAACTGTCTTTATCTGCTGTGTTAGTTAGGTTTCTTTGGCTGCAAGAAAACCCTGTGACCAAAAGCAGCTTGGGGAGGAGAGGGTTTAATTTGCTTCCATGTTCCAATCATAGTTTATCGTTGAGGGAAGTCAGAGCAAGAACTCAAGGTCGGAACTAAAGCAGAGCCGCGGAAGAATGCTGCTTACTGGCTTTCTCTTCCTGGCTTGCTCACTTGGCTCTCTTATACACCTTCTTGCCCAGGATGGCACTACCCACAGTGGCTAGGCCCTTGCAAATCAATCATCAATCCAGAAAATGCCCTAGAGGCTAGCTTACAGGCCACTCTGATGGAGGCGTTTTCTCTTGATATGATGTAAACTTGTGTCAAGTTGACAAAAAACTAGGCAACACACCTGCAGAGCCATCCTGCCAGCTCATGGGAGAAAAACTTTTGAAACAATATTGAGATACGATTCACATACCATAAATGTCACCTGCTGAAAATGTATGAGATGGCTTTCAGTACAGTCACAGATATACATACCCATCACCAGACTCAATTTTAGGGTATTTTCATCACTTCAAAAAGAAGTATATTTCTACGTCCTTATTGCTATCCTGTTGATGTCTCTAAGCAACCATGAATTTTGTTACTATCTCATTCGGTTTGCCTATACTAGGCATTTCATATAAAATGAGTTCAATTTGTGATCTTTTGTAACTGATTTCTCTTATTTAGCATACTGTTTTCAAGGTTCATTCATGTTGGAGCATGCATTGATATTTGATCGTGGTGTTAGGATTAAACCCTGGGCCTCGTGTGTGGGAGGCAGGCAGTCTGTCAACTGAGCCACATCCCCAGCACTACTTAGGTCAAGCAGAAAATCCACCAAGGTTAGAGCTTGTGTACAGGATGCAGCAGTTATGTCCGAGGTTGGAAGGGTAGAAGAGGTAGACCTGTGGATCTCTGAAGAATGCAGAAGTTGATGAAGTAGTGGTCATCTCTGAGAAAGCATCTGAGAAGCTAGTAGATAAGCTAGAGAGAGTTTCCATTGAAACTTTTTAGCTAGCTTGTGAAATTTGAGTCCTATTCCAAATGAGAACAATGAGTTAGATATTGAATTGATTTCTTGGTTATTGAAAGTTAGGTCTGTAATAGGAAGCTGCTAGGTTTCTCAGATGCCACCTAAATATCACTAGAGTATAAAAGCTACCCTTCCAAGATTTCCAACATGCAATTAGTTGACGAACAGGTCATTGGTCAGCTGCTAGAGGACGGTGACTAAAAAGAATTGGTTTGTAATACAAACCATTCTGTTTACTATTATATGGGATATGACATGAAATAATAATAAAATCAACCAGAAAACAGATTTTAATAACTTTAAAGCATGTTCATAAACTTTGTGTTAGTCCTCCGAGACATTTTACCATGTTCTTTATGAAGTTTCTGGAAGTCTGGCAGGATGAGATGAGTGCCTGGCTCAAGTTCTATAGTCAATAAACAATGGAGCTGGAACTTGAGGCCAGAAATAAGAAGATGCTAGTAGTTCAAGGTCAGAGGGCAGATTCATGCCCTTCCCTACATGGTGGTCCTCTCAGACAAGCTGCTTAGCTCCATGAATTCTCATATGTAATATGATCAGAAGAAAGTGAATTATTGCCAGAGTGAGTAAGGTAATAAGTAAATCAAAGAGCGTGTTCAAGAAATCTTTGTCAAGTGCATTAACAAATAGTGAGAGCATCTGTCTGGATATCCAGCCCTGACTACAGTTTGTCTGAGTGATTCTGTTTGGTTTTTAAATACAGACCAACAAGTGTAGTATGTCGCTAACACAGAATAGTACGGCTTTGCCAGCTAATTCAGGGTGGAGTGCACATGGACCAGTCATTGGACTGGAACAGAAGTCTTCATGTCTTTATATTCATTAGTGTAATTAGAAGCATTGAAATGAACCTAAGATGTTGAGGGTGAACAGGTCTGTTTTGAATTGACATTTCACCCAGCTTCAAATCAATATAAACGATTTACACTACTTTGAAGTGAAATAACTAAGTTTTAATTTACTTATTCATTTTTACATGTGTGGGTGTTTTGCCTTCGTATATGTCTGTGCACGACGTGTGCCCCTAGTGTGTGGAGGCCAGAAGAGGTAGTCGGATCCCCCAGAAGTGGAGTAACAGACAGTTGTGAGCTAGCATGTGGATGCTAGGAATCAAACCTGGGTCCTCTGGAAGACCATCAGGTGCTCTTAGCCGCCGAGTTCCCTCCAGCCCCTAGGTTTAATGTATTTCTTTGCACGTTCATGTAAATTCAGTACTGAGCTGAAAATGCAAACATTTTGAGCTTGAAGATTGAGACTTAACATCCTGAGAGTAAAGGATCAATTCTGATACTTTGGAAATTTAGACATACTTAATTTTACTATTTAACAGGATTTTTCCATGAGATTATTCCAGAAAAGTAAATGAAACCACCCCTGAGAGAATGTTCTTGTAAAGAAACTGATGACAAAAAAGTACTTTGGTTTCTTAAAATATTTTGCCGGCTTCTTGTTGGTCTGCATAATATTGGGTACACTTGATTTGTAAGAGTTTGATTTGGTTTGTCAACTTGTAATTATCACGAAGTGTGTTCTTTTCACTTGCGGACTTCTTATAAAGGAGAGTAGTAACCTGTCATAGGCCTGTTTTGTAGTGAAGTTTGCTTTTTGGCTTGTCAGTTTGTTTATGCTGTTGTTTAACTGTCTGAGTTCGAGCTTGGTCACTTGAGCTAATGTGTTCCTGGATAGGACGCTCAGATCAGCAGTCTTGTCAACGTGAAAGCTCTCAGTGCACCTGACCTGTAGATGAAAACAGGCCTCTTTTTGTTATCTTTATATTGATACAGATTTTATCTGGAGAAAACTACCATGGACATTAAGAGTGTAAGATGTACTCATATAAAAGTAGGTAACTTAGTTTGAATGTAGTCACACAAACTTGGCAAAGGTTTTAATATTCATTCAGTGGAGAAAGTTTATACTGAAAACTATGTAAAATATTGTTAGCCACCAGGAGGAGTTGTACCCCCCCTTTCCTTAGATCAAATCCTTAAACCTATCCTGATGAGAACCTATCTAAGCATGCATGCTTACTGTTAATTGCATTCAATGACTGGTACATTGACATACAGGAGGCACTCAGAGTGGCATATTTCAGTAGATATTTAACATAATGAATTTCAGTGAAGTCAAGTAATATGGGCAGGTACTTAGGCCTTATTGTCA